CGGTTCAAATTTGTACAACATTAATCTCATCTATCACAACTGGTTTTACGTGCGTTCGATTCATCATATGAGGCTCTGAGTGTAACCATAACGGTTTACAATTACATGCAAACCCTTTCCCACGCGAACGAATGGAATGTATTAATTAAAAGAAGAAAGTGCGACTCATTTCGCCTTTATCTTCTTAAATTCTTCGAAATTATCGATGTATCTCAAAAGGAATTATATTATGGAAAGTATAGACGCTGCCAAGTATAGACTCAAGCAAAGGATTAAATTGACGTAACAGCGAAGCCTGATTCGTCGTCGAATATATGTTCGGGAATCGCAGTTCAGCTTCGCAATATTTTTACGAGGTTTCGGTACCCACGCTCGCTCGAGAACCAACACAGCATATCGAGAATGTGGTGATCGGCCTGCGGCTACGAATTCCGTTACACGCACTTGTACGGTTCCGTGGATCTTCCTATACTCTGCTCACGATGAGATTTTTATGCTCCATCTATCTTGCGATTTTCGACACCGATTTAACGATCGTTATTTCACTGACGTAAAGTAAAAATGTTGAGCAAATACGCATTTTATTTGACACATGTAATATAATGAGTAATTAACCATAGATCACGGTATAATGATCGACGAAAGATGTGAAATATACGTATGCCAAGATACGTGCAGTGATTTTCTCCGCATCTCTACACGCATTACAGGTGCAAGATCGAAGAACGAATATTTCATAAAAGTAAATCAACTCACGTTTCCGACAAGAAAATTAATTCCAGAGTTGCACGCGACATAGAAAATCATTACCAATGCACTCGATTAGTTCGTTCACTCCAGTAGAAAATTCTTCACTCGTTAATCAATTCATGAGAATCTTGAATTTCATTATAAATACAGTTACTTCATATACAGTACACTTTGCTAGTAATGGGTAATTAGTTGTTCAATATCCACACAATACATTGTTAAATATCACTCGATTATATTGTGATGTTGATTGTATTATTTTCTTTAACAGTAGAACGCTATTAACGTTATAATTACGTGATAATTAAATAGTGTGAATATTGAAAAAAAAATTACTTATTACTGATAAAATGTATTGCATATGGAAGAATAAAAGTGTTTGTAATAAAATCCTCCAAGATCCTCATTAATGAAAGACAGGATGTGTAAAGAAGAGAGAATTGGAATACATTTGACAATTGTCATCGAAACCTTCACGATCAGCTGATTGCTCGACAGTGACCCCAGGTCAATCTACTTTCTACTTCTCACATTCTGCCGAGATCAGAGGTGATATTGGCGACGGGGGGGCTATGCACGATGCCTTCAAGTGGAAGCGGACATACTTTCACGACGGACGGTATACATATCGTTAAATTATCGGGATGCTGATGGGTGAAAACGGATGGAGGCGGTGCTCGTTGTTCACCTGCCCGCGAGAGAAAAATAAGAGGGAAGATTTATTAGTCGGAATACTTGGAGAGTTTTCATAGCTTGGAAGAATGTTTATGACACCTGGAGAGGCACATCGCGAAAAATGTGCGACGTGGGAAATTTATCTTTGTAATTTGCCGACGCTTGAGATATCTAACATTATATCTGCATTGAAAGCAAGCGATAAAAAAATATTCGATCGAAAGCCTTTCGAGATTTCCAAGAATTCCCGCCTTTCATATTGGAAGTAATGTAAAACTTTACAACGCGATTGAATTGCATGAAACTTTACAAGAAATAAAGACAGACTCGAATGGCCATTACTAATCGCATAATCTCGACGCAAATATAATTTTCGGAACACTTACGTCGAGGAACGGTGAAATAAAATTCCACTTGAGCGGAGGTCAATCGTGACGAATGAAATTTCAAATATAACAGAATACAAGTTACAGTTAGCGCTTCGTCGTAGTATACAAATGCCTCGCGTCGGAATGTAATTTATATCGACACGTGCCTTGTTTGTTTATAATTTGTCTCGCTGCTATCTATATGTAATAGCGTAATCAGTAAAACGAGCAGGTACGAAGAGAACACGAGACTTCCGTATTAAGTTGGTCACGCGACTAAGCCGGTATGCAGTCGCTTAATGATTGTCCGCAATCTTCAGTACTATATATGTGACACGATTCGTCTGCCGGTATCTATTTGCTGATTGATTCCGCTAGTAAATGGATACGATTAGAAAATAACCATCTGGCGACGGCGAGAAACATTACAAATTTTCTCAGGCAAGTGTTCAAATTTCCGGCTTTGTCACAATCTATAAATAATGTAGTTGATTGTATTGATCGTTTTGTTGATTTCTACTCCACGCGATCATGGATCATAAATAATTCTTTACGAATTAAAATCAAACAGGTTTCGCCTCGATAAGAACCTGTCTCCCAATTACGCCATGTCACAGAATTGTCGACAATGATTTGATTTATTTTCAGGGAGTGGTCAGCATTCCAGTGGAGCGTAAAGATCAGCGAACTTATCATGAATTAAGATCAATTCAAAAAATGGATGTCGCCAAGGGCACAACAGAAGATTTCGTGACGGTGGTCAGCGTCGGCAGTCAGCCGATGTCGGAAAACTTTGTGACCGTTCTATCGATCGGCAATAGGAAGAAAGACGATGAGGAATCGTCGGCGACGAGCAAAAGTTTGTCGAACGGTATGGACGGGCATCTCGAAGAAGAAGTCGAGGTTTTTAGATTACCCGGAGAACGTTTGGGTTTTGGACTCAAATTCGAAGGCGGTAACAAGACTGCTGAGAGAGTTAGAAGACTGTTTGTACAGAGCTGCGCGGAGCAAAGTCCAGCCAGCAGAGCGAAATGTTCATGGGGCACCTTAGGCGAAGGAGACGAGGTAATAAAGATAATCTGAAAAGCTAAGCATTTTGCGCGGACTACAGATTGATTTTTTTCATTTATTTTCTCGAGAGAAAAGAATTCTTAGATGCACACGAGCGATACTACGATTCTTACAATAGATGTATACAAATGATATTTTCTTAATCTTGTTTTCCGCGCGTTAACACAGGTCCGCTTTCGCTGACGTGATATTTTGTACCGTAATGCATGTGATAAATTCAAGAAAGTAACATTCATGAACATGTATGTTTTCATTCAATCTTAACGGCACGTGAAATCTTTCACGCATCATACATGTCGCTTTCAATTACGGAATCGACAAGTTTCTTCTGTAATTGATAAAGATCACAATGGAACGGTAGATCCCTACTGGTATTCCAATGTCGGTATAATGACTGACGTATAATTATTTGCACGCATCGAACCGCGACGTTTGCATTTGTGGCGTAATGTCAGCAACCTGAATAAATGAGGAAAAGAGAGAAAGAAAGAAGACAAAAATTTTTCTCGCATAAATTTATGACAACGTGTTGAGATATTTAACATAATAACATAATCATTTTTTTTTACATAAATTAAGATATTAAAAAATGATTATGTTAAAGCATTTAAAAATTCAGCTAGATTATGGATCTAAAAATAATTTATTGAATTCAAAATAATTACATAAGAAACTCAAGCATGATGAGTAAAAATTTTAATATTTTATCAATCGTAGCTTGAGCGTCCTACACAAATTTTGATAATCCAATAAAATTATTTTCAAATTTCAATATTTAGATAAATTTTTAGATTAAGCAAAATCGTTTTTCTTGTATATTAAAGAAAAGTCGACTTTAAATTTATCAGAGTGTTTGTCAATAAAATGAAAATCGTAAGTTATAGACAGCGATATTGATGTGCATATATAGCATATTTTTCTTTCACGGAACAGCTGCAAGATAAGACAGCGCACAAACGCACTCTCTTTAGCTCCCACGGTGCACTTCACCGTCTATGATTTTCGAGACCTACTTCCTCCCTAATGATCCTTAAGAGAGGTTTCCTCTCACCTCCATTACTAGTTTACATTGCAAATTATCGCGAGCAATAAGCTCTTCTCCATGTTTCTTCCTTGTACTTGACAATCACGTTACATCTCTCGCAGGTACTGTCGATCGACGGTATACCGGTGACACACATGACCCGCTTGGATTGCGTGAGAAGACTGAAGGAGTCGCAACTGGTTATCAGGTTGATGGTGAGATGTCGTGGCGCTCTTAGACCGGAAGTGGTGAGCGCTGAGAGAAAAATTGAAAGAAGCAAAGTGCCTCCAGAATTACCCGCAGCACCACCGCCTGTACCACCAAGAAAACTGAGACAGCCTCGAGGACCTGCGGACGGCGAGGCAAATCCTAGTCCCATCAAGAAATTGTTGGATAATTCGAAATCTCAGAATGGATCGCAAAGTGGCGCGCAGAATGGCTCGTCAATTTCACAAATCGGATTACAATGCGTAACCAAAATAAACTCGTACGAGAGTTACGAGTCTTCGCCGAGAAACATTAACGGATCGAATCAGGAGAACCTGAAAGAATCGCCGAAGGACCGTTCGCCGGAATCCGTGAAAACGAAGCAGGTAATCACGAGAAAGAAACGAAATAGATTAAAAGTATTTTTAAATAAATTTTTAAAATTCACTGAATTAAAAATAAATGCTATAAAAAAATGTGAAAAAAATGTCTCTTATATTTGTAGGAACCACCGGAAGCAATGGTTTATCTAGATGCGCGATCACAATGTGGCTCCACGCATGGCAGCACATCCGATGATACCGGCAGTTCTATGTCCACCGTAGTGGACAGATTCTCGACGTCCGATCGCGTGTCAACCATATCCACGACGTCCACAGCGTCAACCGCAGGTTCCGAACAGCCGAGCGAATTCTCAGGCGTCGATCGAGACTTCGACCGATCATCCGATCGAGATGTGCTGCTGTCGCGAGCGATCTGTCCACTCGAGCATCTCGAGCGGGATTTCTCGAATCCGCCAGATTACCTTCTCCGTCGTCTTGCCAATTCTGAAGCGGTGACGCACGTGGAATCGCGCGGTGAAGTCGAACGAATTACAGCGGTCGTCGCACCAAACACGGTTTTGATCGAGGAAACGATCACTCTTCAGCCGCCACTCAGCTTTCAGGACGCCCCGCTGAGTTACGGACATGAGGCCAGGCCGGATCTCTTCTACACGGCCGACCTGGCTGCCGACTCGACGACGCATTTCAGGCCAATTAAGGACGACGTGGAGCTCGTGGAGCGCGTCAACGGCAACCACGAGGAATTCCAAGAAGCGATCTCTGTTTCCGGCATGGGGAAAAGCAATAGCGACAGGTCGTCGCCACCGCCGTTGCCGGCTAGAAATCACGTTAATAGGATCTGCGTGAACCAGATGCAAACGAGCGAATCAGGAAACGAGACGCGGCCGCGAATCTCCTCAACGGTACTTGTTTCTTCTGAAAGAGAACTTTCAGAAGCTCCTCTATTACCACCGAAACCATTACCGAGAAAAGATGTTAAAGCTAGGCGGAAGAGACCACCTCCACCACCTCCACCTCCAATTATAACACCGCGAAAGAGAACAATAATCTTTCGCAAGTTAAGAACACAGAACACGTTCGACCAGGAGTATGCACTTCGTCACCAAATAAAAACAATGTCCTTGACGAAAAGAGTCAAAAAATCGAAAGTTCAGATGAAAGTCTCGATAAAGAATCTGACATGGAGAACGTTTGCCTTAATAACGAGAAGGGTAAAGCTGCAAGTTCGGAAGAAAATACACAAACAAATAAAGTCTTTGAGATTATCGAAATCAGAATGGCTAAAGGTTTACAGTCTGATCAGAAGAAGGAAAATAAATCGAATAACACAACAGAAATTGTGAATTGCGAGCAAAATAAAGTAAAAAACGAAGTAATTAATAGAAACGAACAAGACCAATTGCAGCCTACGAATAATTCGAATAAAGTTTCACCAGAGCATGAAAGTTCGATCTTAGAATCAACTGACGAGCTCATTGACGAGTCAAACGATGAAAAAGAAAACTGTATAAACTCGAAAAGTTGTCAGCAAGAAGAAACTAGAACAAATGATCGGGATAATTTTAAAGAAGTGTTTCCAACAAACGAAGAAGGTATTTTATCAATCGATAATTCTACGATGCGAGAGAACGAAGATAACGAAACTTATCAATCGCTCGACGTGGTCAACGATGATATAAAGAATCCAGAAATAAATCAAATATTAGAAAACGAAGAAATTATGGAAGAAGAAGAAGACACCACTGACGAAAGCGACGACGGCGATTATTACTGGCAAAGTAATCTCGCTACGATTGGCGAAGAGGAAGAAACCTCCTTAGAATATATGAATGCGTAAGTTTGCAATTGTATATTCAAGTAATAACACAAATATTATTATTCAAAGACTACAGCTATGAAAGAGATTCTGAAATTTATGATGTTTGTTTTTGGAGAAACGTGATTCATGTCACTTTCACCACACTGCATCTCAATTGTTGTGTCAAAATTTAATATTGTTAATTTATTGCGTAAATAAACAGTAATTATAATATACATATTACATAAAATTAATTACAATTATTCCATGTTTATTTCGAATAAAATTGATTAGCTGTAAAATAAACTGCTGAAAATTGTGTCAAAGAGTAAATTATTATAGAACTCACTGATGCAGCACCATGCAACGAATGAACTTTAAAAAGAAATTAATTCACTTTCTTTATGGATATGGATTGCCGTGTGCGGCACATGGAGAAAAGGTTAATTGACCGTTCTAAGAATAGAAAAGAAGGTTGTCGATTACTGAGAATCGAATAGTCGTTTGACTCGGCCGTCCCACGAGGTGAACGCCTCCATGCAAATGCTCGACATTTGCTTATTGCTTTGAAAAGCGATCTCTCCTTCTTTGCATGACGCTGCAATCACTTCTCGAACCATTCGAACAACGATTGCTGTTTATTAAATCTTTTAATAGGTTCTCCTAGCGTTGAAACGCGCGCGCGTGTAATAGGATGCATAATTATTTTTTGAAACAGCTATATAAAATAATTTTTACTTTTACTTATCACAATCGCGACAAGATGAAAAAAGTAGCTATTCTCTTTTAAGCAGTTAGAAAAAAAAATCTCTAACTTGTTGCAGCAACGCAGACATGAATGATTCCAGTGAGCTGACGGTGGAGTCGGAAGAATCGCCTTCTGCAATCAAGAAAGATATGTTCGTTAAAAACGGTAAGTCAATTTATACGCTAATTAAATTTTAATTAAACTTCAAAATACGATTTGAGTCAATAAAGTCGCAATTTATCTAATTAACGGAAGAATGCGAGGCCAGCACAGACCGATTAAAGATGCATTCGCTAATAGCAAAAGGCAACAAATCAGATGGTTAAGCCTATTAAAGCTAACTGCGTAAAAAAAAGTTGGCACGTCATCAATCGACGCAACCTTGAGTTGCTAATTAATTAATTGACTTTGCTTTTGATAGCGCCATCAATGTTTGCATTTTTTCCGGACCGACGGGAAACGATTATTCATTTCGCCAAGTGCAGGTATGATTGCAAAAAAAAATTACGAAAAACTCTCGGAGTGCCGGAGGACACCCGGTACACACGCCCACGCTACCGTGGCACGTCACCGTCGAGTTTTATAAAGGTTACGCATTAATCACCTTGCGTTACGCGCCCATACAGCTCTTAGGTTTCGCGCGGGCGCGAATGCATTCAAAACGGAGGCAGGTCGCGAATCGAGACAAAGGCGTGTAGAGCGGCGCGCCTTCCTCGCAAGGAGAAATTCTTATTCACCAACATGCGTTCTGTGATATTTTCGCACGAATGACTAGATGTTCGCGTTTCCTCCTCACGATATTATGCACGAGATCTTAATCAAGACATCTTTCTGATGTTCTCTCCTTTTCTGCTTGTTGGTTCGAGTCCCTTATAATTTATTTCTACTTAAACACCACACCAAGAAAGCTCTCCATTTTCTATAGACACGAATGCACTTGACTTCAATGAGATACCTGTTTGCGTAATACGTGCTCTCCGAGAAAACTATTTAAAGAGAAATATGTTATCGCAGATGCTCGTCATCTTTCGCCGCAAGTTGAAAAATGTCTATCTCGCCAAGGTAGATCAATGTTCGATCGAGAAAACGGTAATTTCGCCATAGAAATACCGGAAATCAAGTCGAGCGATGGTAATAATTCGCACGTGATATACACTGCATGAGATATATTATCAAAAACATTTCACTAATCGCAATATAGTATTTCTAGCTCACTTCACGTGTCCTTTTTTTTCAAGTTAATGAATACGCAGCTTCATCGAGAAAAATTCCAAAGGAAAAAGGCAGTTTATATAATAGAAGCAATTACGAAGTTGGATAATAATAAGGAATAATAAGCAGGCGTATAATAATTAATTTGCACAATACTTTTTTTCAAAGATGCACCGATCACGCACGTTGTACATACGTTGCAACGTTAGAAGCGATGTATAATTTTCCAATGACGATTCCTTACTTCCCGCGCGATTTCGACATTGTCTTTACTGCATCCACTTCCTTTTCATTCATTTTTTTTTACCTTGCAACGCGAACAGCGCGATTCATGAAGCGAATCGTACGATAAGGAGGGTATCGGTGGATCTTCACCCGAGACTTTACCGTAGCCGAACGCTTTGTGCAAAGCGGGAAATAAGGAAATTCCGTCGACGCGGTCTCTAATCGGCACGGTCGGCGTTCCTGCGCTCGAACGTGGATTCCCGGCCGCCGGCCAGGTGGGTGTGAGAACAAAACCGTTAAGAATAATTCGAGAATCGCCTGGCAGTGAGCGGCGGCGATGCTCGCGCGGATTGTTAACGAACAGCCGAAGCTGCCGTCCGCGAAGTCCGTATTAAACGTGAAACTTTACGGTCAGGCGGCTTCGGGTTGCCGGGTGCCGACAACGTTTTAACCGACCATTTTTCCAACGAACCGACAGACGTACGTTCCTCAACCCCGTTAAATATAAAGTCGTAAAAAGTCTCACGGTATCCATTACACCCACCGTTTCGCCGCGCGCGAATCCGGGTAGGTACGTGAAAATGCATTACGTCATTTTACATCGACTCGAGAGTCTTTTCTCTCACGCCATTATACGTATACGTACATTGGAAGACTTTGGAGGCAATAACATTTTAAGTTGCTTGTTAGGAAACAAGTTGCTAAAGCTATAATTCTTTTGAAGTTGAATGAGATTAGCGTGCAGCTTTGGCAAATTCGAATTTCTTGGGATCTCTTGAAAAACACTCGCTGACTGCAACGCTAATAATTTGATAGCAGCTCTTTATTCAAGACGTAGCGTTGCACGATATGTAATCGCATCCGGGATAGAATAAGCAAACGAGAATGCGTCTATTGTATTAGCGCTAGCTCGACAATTCCCAACTCTCTTCCGTTAATTATCATGTATCCTATATTGTTACTCGACATTTACGATCGATCCGGCGCCGCGAGTAGCGCACATACGCCTGTTATTGTGGTGGATGGCGGCCGATCGGGGTCCAGCAAAGCTTACACTAGTCACAACAATATGGCGATCCCGCCGCGGTCTTCACTCTTCAGCCTCCGAAGCTCTTCCAGTGGCTCTGACCGCGCTCAAGGTCCCATTCCCCCTTAATCGCCTTCCTTTTCGAGATCTTTCACTTGGTTCACTTCCAATCGAAGAGACGGCGATCTCTGACGCATACTTGCGTACTGACGTGCGTCTGTACGTGCGCGATCGCAGAAGACGGCATTCCAGCGTACCAATACAAGACCCGTGTGCGTAGTGCACAGTATATACTGACCCAAAAGTAACAAATGTCATGCAACCAACACCTGTCCAACACGAATCCAAGTAGATTGGCATCGATAGCTCTTTCTCTAAGCTAGCTCTTTCGGTCTTTTCAAAGGCAAAATTTTGCCTTGATCTGTCTGACGTGGGTAGTTCACTTTATTTATGTTACTGCCAACAATTTTTTCTTAATATTCCTTTGAGATAATATCGAAGTGTCTGTCCATTTGAATTTACTCAAACATTACAGTAAGCCGACGAAAAATTAAAAAAATACAATGAATGTTTAAGATAGATAAATTTTATGATTTTATGCCTCTTTGAGAGAGTATTGAAAGATAAAAAAAATAAAACCCTTAACATGTCACTGCACATTCCAGATTTTCATCGCAATCTGATATGGAATGGTTTGGAAGATTCGTTTGTCTACACTGCAATTATGGGGCTTAAAAATATGCAAACGAAAAGTACATTCCATAATTTCATTCGAATTGTGCATTAACGACTGGCTTCTTAAGGAGATCGACCTTTCCCAGGCAATCCGACGCCCGTTTCAATTTGCGATTGCAAAGGGCGATGATTAGTCTTGAGTCTTGACTGGTCTTGACCTCCTGAGGAAAGCTTTCGACATCAAATCAATTAGTAGATATTGATACTGAATACTTTCTATTAAATGTTAATGCGCACAAATTGCAGACAACATTTTATCAAGCTAATCTCGAGGCTTATAGAAAATTATTCGCTATTCAGAACTCAGTGGAACATTCGCAGATAGGCATATTTAAAAAAATACGCTCGGATTATACGATCGAACACCGAATAACGGATTATTAACATTTGAATAAGATATTCAGAAGATCTTAGAACGTCAGACACTACAAAGTTTCATTTTGAATCATGCTAAAATTTATATTCTTGTTATATAAATGATATATAAATTTACATATTATAAATGAAATTTTATTCTCAACGTTTTTTACGAAATTGGTAAATGATATTCTTGAAACGTTTCATTTTGACTTAAATCTGCATCACACAGGAAAACCAGGTCACGTTTTGTCACGTTCGTGCCGAAAGAATCGCATTCGATCTGACTCGCAAAGTACGCTTAATGCATCCGATCGAACGAGCTGCATTCCATCGCGCCAACTCGAACGGTGCATGCAGTAAAACCGCCTAAAGATGACTCGCCCCGTTTCAAGATCGACCGGTATCAACGAATTTAACAAAGTACGGCCTTTGAACAAGAGATTACGATGGAAATGGAAACTAGTTATGAATTATATGTTACGCGCGTTTATTAGAAATAGATATCCTAGATCAGATCCCACGTTTATGAATCATCGCACATGAACGTTTGAACAAAATCGGTACAGAAGAGACAGTTATTGTTATTCGTACAGCGAGATCGATTGAGAGGAGGACAGGTTCGTAGAGTCGGACGTGGTTGAAAGGATCTACTATATGTCCACGTAGACATATCGGATTCAAGATCCAAGATCCAAGATCCAAGAGACGACATTCCGTTGCGGCAACCCGGAAGCGTTACGCGTGCACCAACGTCAATATAATTAGTTACGATGCGTCATACTTAAGATGCAGATCGATCTACGAAGCTGACGAACGAGCGGATTACTTCCACGCCGAGAGAACTTTAATCGTTCGTTCCGATAATGTATAAATAAACGTGAAATTACGTCTTCTTTTCGTGGTATATATATATCTCGTATTAATGATCGTTTGTATAACATCCAGTTTACACGCCGCTTTATGTAAGTAGCATGAACCGTGAAACGTTTGCATAGTATTTATGCTCCACAGCTATGGAATTGCAGTTATCGCGACAACGATTTACCGTGAAATTATCGGACGAAGTTACCTCGAACGACGAAGAAATTAACCTTTCGAGTTTTCTATTCTTTTTATTGCTTTTTCCATTTTACTACCTTATTTTACACGTCCATCTTAACGAAATATACACTTTGAAAATATACCGTCGCAGTTATTTGAAAGTGCAGCCGCGACTTGGCTTGTCGCTGATCCAACGGTAACATACGTTTGCGAGTCAAGTCAAGGTGTTAAAACACAAATCCAGGAAACGAGCACAAAGCCCATCAAGGTCCGACGTCGGCACTTTAAAGCGCGGCGCGGCTTTGCTGAGCAATCAGCATTTAATTTTTATCCTGTTGTGACCTGCGTCGCTGAACAAATGCCACAACGTTATAGAAGCAGGTTTTCTTTCATTCCTTTAAAATAAAACGATAAAAATCACGATCACCCGATCTTATCACAGTCGGGAACGTAGACATTCGTAAAAAAATGTCATAATAAACAATCTTTAATAAACAATCACATATCAGTGATTAATTGGAAATCTAATATGTTCGAACAATTATCAGATAACTAATAGATATAA